ATTTCGCGACGTAGCTTTAGATGGAGTTTCATTTGCAGTAAATTCGCTGACGTCATAAATCCGGTTGAGCGAATTTCATAAACGGCTACAAACACCGGTCATATCACAAGAATTGTTTTATTTATTCATTCATAATGAAGTCCACATATTATTTTGAAATGTTAAAACAAATAGGAAATGAATAGAAAGATAAGTTAATAGTAATATGCAATGAAACAAAAGCCTAACTACACAAGAAACCCCTATTACATGTTCAGATATCAATGTATTACATCAATATATAGTATCTATACCATTGGGGAAACTCTTGATCCTGTGGAGAATTGTACGGATAAATTTAACAGAGATTTTCATCAAAATAACAAAAAAAAAACTAAAAAGAGACAACGCCTCATACTGTTCATGACTTTGAATAGATTATTAAAAAAATGCGGAGTTGTAGGGTTTATATTTTAAATTTAACCCAGTGGAAAAAAATGTGTGTGAAGGAGACCTGTTAGTTAAAAAGACACAGTTACATGTTTAATAAACCCAGTATGATATACCAAAGGATGAACGCACCCATTGACGTGCAAAGCGTGTTCCCGCTTGTACATCATAATTGAGAAAGCAAAATGAATTATTGGCACACATGGATCATGTATCGGACTGACTAGAAAAGCTTTCACACCTTACAACTAATTTATTTCAAGCTGCTGACTAAAGAAGAAGTCATTATGGAAAGTAGTTTCTGAGAATAGCAACAAAAACATTTCTTGAACGACCGGACGGACATATAAACAGGGTGGTTGCGATATTGCCCCGCTCCAAAAGGGGAGGTAAAATACAAACAAGCAAGTCAATCATCATATGTACCGTAGTAAATATAAGCAAGAGAATAAACAACGGTAACTTATCTATTGATAAAGGAATCATGCAATTTTATGCTTTAACACGGGCTGCTGTACTTCCTATAAAAGGAAATACTACAACGTAATGGTCTATTGAGACACATACGATAGATATGACAAGAATTTGCACGAAACAGCTCTAAATGTACACTTTCTAAATATGTTCTGATAAGTGTCTAAGCTAACCCGAGTAAATGTGGTTATGATTACACAAAAATTATCATCCGTGCTCTGATATTCTTAATTATTTCCATAAAAATGTGTCAACGAAATATATATTTGTGTTGTAATAGTATAATGACATGCATGTGTTTTATTTCGGCATTAAAAGTACAAAGTAGCATGACTTAAAAGAATCGAAAAATAGGAAGTCAACATTACCAATGAGTTATCAATTTCGTTGACTTTGTATGAAGAGGGAAACCATAAAGTCAGGTTTGCCTTTTAAACACCTCGTATTTTTCTTCAGGTTGTAATGACTGACGAATTTGTCAAAACCACTAAATGAAGGGCCCAAAGACATTCTGTTTATCCTCTCTCCACGTAACTAATAAAATCTACACTACAACTAGTTTTCAATTTGAAGGGAACTGATATACCTCTTAACTATTTAATAGATTTAACGAGTTTAACATTTTCATTCCAGGGCTTTTTATAGCTGACTATACGGTATGGATTTTGCATTGCTGAAGGATGTACGGTTATCATTTATTGCTTTTATCTCCGTTATTTCAACTACGGTGGATAGTTGTTCATTGGCATCACCAAATGTCATTATTCTTATATAGTTAACTTTATCATAAGTGTTTCACATTTTGTCATGTCGGGGCCTTTTAAAAATAAAACTATGCTCAAGCTGTAGTCTACATGAAACATTTCAGGCCTAATGTCGGACAGATTTGCAAGTTCTTCAATTTTTCTTTTTTTTGTTTCCGTACATTTGTAAAAGTAATTTAACAGAATACTTTTGAGATGCTATTTCTTGATTATGAATCAGTTTCTGTCCAAGTTTCTAATATTTCATGAAGTTTTGGCAAATATTATAGTTATTCACCGAGTTACAAACTTAATAAAATGATGATGAATACCGTTGCTTTGGATAAAAAATGCCTATACAACTGAACTTGGCAGCGTAATCGGGAACGCCGGGACTGATTGCACAACGTTGTTGCGATTAAAACTTACTTCGATGTAATTAAGAGCGATTTTGGCAAACAAAACGTTCTCATTATAGAATCAAGGTTTATGGCTTTTATTAAAAATACAAACTACCTTTACTAATTTGTTTATAATATATTTTGGACATAATAATATGCCACGGTCTAAGTTTGTCAAAGATATCATGCAAGTAAATCAAATATCGATTTCATCTACACGAAATTTAGTAAACACTCTTTTGTTGTTACCTTGAATATCAAGCAAAAAAGACAAATGAATATCATAAGACATAAAAAAGATTAATTTCATAAGGGGTGATATGGTTGTTTGATTTTTTTGTACAAGACTCTCTGATAAACTGGTATGAGTAACAGGGTACAACGGCATACCGATATTGTTAGGACGTATCACGAGAACAACCGTTAAGGCTTAAGCGTTTTAACAACGGACCTGCATAATAAATGTATAGCTGCCTAACAAAATAAACATATAAAATAGATCGAAAAATTATTTAAATATGCTTTTAAATAATCAATTTGTACGATAAACGACAAAGAGGTGTTTTTTGTAACGACCTTGACTACCTTGAGGGTCTTGAGGGTCTTGCACGGTCGGTAACGATTAAAAAATACAACGCTGTAAGTTTAAGGGACCGTTCGAAAATTCAATGTAGAATAAAACTTAATTTACATCTATGTTTTCAAGACACAAAGGGTAAATTTGATAAGGACAGAAATTTCGCCTTGAAACAAGCCTAGTACAGATACGAACCAGTCAACGAGTTGTATCAAGGGATCCTAATTGACAGAGAGCCTTGTATTCTCTTAACAAATAAGGCATCAGATTTAACGTTTCCATTATGACGTGACGTGATGCATCACGCACAACAAAATGGAAACCAACTATCACACGGGTTTTTGTCTGCCAGTCAGAACGGCACTACGAGTGAACATATAAGTACCCCCAGTCATCTTGGGGTTCCTCCACAATGAATGGTGTCTAGTATACTAATTATATTAACGGTGGGGTACCTAACTTGACATTGGATGTGTATATGCTGATGTAATAACATTAAAACTGGTAATTATATTGTACATACAGTACAATCAGTGTGGGATCTGCATGTGTATGTGTGCACAGTATTTGGAATGCATGGCATATAGTTTGGATGTTGTTTTTTTGCTATATTTCATTTTTATTGCACAAAGTCATTGCTACTTTCAGACGTATGGAAGTCAGTGGATTCTAAATGGTTGACAGGTATGTCAGAGGTATGATTGATCGATATATACTTATTCATTTGAGAAGGGACCATTTCTTATTGTAAATTTATGGTTCACTTTTTGAAGTTTTCCGTTTTAATGCTCTTCAACATCATATTTTAATGGGCCTTCAAACTGTTTTGCTAAGAGCGCCACTGATCTTATGTAGACCAAACACCAATTTGGATATGTTTCTAAATGTGGAGATGGTGAAGACGATCACAGCGACAAGATAGAAGACGTTTGTCTTTTATTTTTAAAATCGATCAACGCAACACGAAAATAACGACTTTTTCAGCTCTTAATTATGAAGAAGTTGATCAGCAACAAATTGACGAGTACCATCAGTGGATGGACGAGCTAAAGCCTTATATTTGTTTTATCATTAACTAAATAGACTCATCATAGATACCAGGATTGAAATTTATATTTGCGCTAGACGCGCGTTTCATATACAAAAGACTCATCAGTGAGGCTCGAGTCAAAAATGTAAAACAGGCCAAATAAAGTACGACGTTGAAGAGCATTGAGGACCACAAATTACTAAAAGTTTTGCCAAATACAGCTAAGGTAATTTATTCCTGAGGTAAAAAAGCTTAAGTATTCGAAACAGTTTTGTAAACAGTTAATTTATAATTATGAACATATCAATGATCAATGACTCAAGTCAACACAGAAGTCTTGACTACTGGACTGGTAAAACGCTGGTTCTAGAAATAGAAACAGAAATATTATACCGCATATATTAAATTTACCAACACACAACGTTCAGTAATCAGTTTATATAGAAAAAATCGTTCAACCCATGATCTTTTTTTTTTCTTTCGTGTATATATTATTCATATCCCTCACTTTGACAATGATTTTGATATTGTCCATTCTATAGTGAACGACACTTACTTACATTTATTACTAAAACAGAAAAGCACATCATATAATTATAGGTTTCACGAGTGAGAATGGGATATCGCTTGATATCAACTCGAGTTATTAAATTTCAATATAATAACAAGCAAGCCTTATCTAATTTTCACAAGTTGTTAAACCTATTTCTTTAATGGTAAACAATGTCAAAATTCCGCGAAATGCTGATCTAGTCTTTTGTACACTCTAATATGACGTCAAATGTCCTATGCCGGTGTCAAACTTTAACATCAGACATATTGTTAGACTTTTTGTATGCTTCATACGTAATACGATTTAACAAAAAGAAGGATTTTCAGGTGAAATATTTGAGTGTTTTTATATTATTAAAGAAATCACATATGTCCGTTGTCATGGACGAAATGTACATCGTCTTAACTTTTGAAAGTCATCGACGACCTTACGTATAGCAAATGGAAATGACGTATTATCGTCGTGTGATGCTGGCTAAGCCAATCAAAATAACACAGATTTTCGTATCCCTTTTTCGTATTACACTCCGTACAGTGTGATTTACGAGAAATATATTTTCCTGCAAGAACTAGATAACCATGCGTTCCAAGTGGTGGAGTTGGAATCATCCGATCACCATTTTAATATAAGGTCATCACGTGTTTGTGGATGTAACATGTTTTAATCCTAGTAACCGCAACTCCTTCCTTTTTTTCTTTAAACAACAAAAAATATAACTGTACATGAAATAAAGAATGAATATTATTTGTGCGTGTAGTATCTATAATGGCATGCAATGCAAATAAAAGGGAGATAATTCAAGTATACATTTTTTATCATGATATATACGCCCAGGATGGACATCTTGAGACACTACTGTATACCACAATGACACAATTTGAAAGTTCAAAATATACACTATTGCAAAAAAAAAAAAAAAAAAAACAGAAATAGTAAAACTTTTGTGAATTCATAATGCGCTACAAAAAGTATAACGACAGGAACATTACCCATTTACATTCTTCTTTTTTTGATTTACAGGAATAAATCATAAAATAATTCACATAAACATTGATTCGTGTTAATTGAACGTGATTTTCATACTTGAAGTATACATTAACTTGATCACACAATGTGGCGTAACATTTACACCTTAATGTATTCATACAAATTTTTGAGGTAAGCTGTTATGTTCATAGGAGGATGTGATACATTTATCACAAGGAAATATAGTTCACAAAATGTAATTTTGGTCTAATTCAGACACCATGTATATTTTCTGGCGTAAATATTTCATTTGAAATTCACATAAATGAACTTTAAAATTTCGAGTGAAATACATATGGATAAAACTTAGTAGCACATTATTCTGGCTTTGAAGTATATGTTTAGTACTGATCAATGTATATGATAATGTCAAATATTAATATCAACATATTCCGGCTAAGATATTCGCTCATTGAATGTGAACGGTAAAACACTTGTCGAAAATAAAATATGATGCTTTCTGGCCATTTTACAAGTTTTTTTATGAATCTTCCAGTTTTTTCTTTGGCATTGTTTATCACAATATGTCGATACTTTACATCTGCTGCATTTTTTTAGTTTAATATCGCTTTTACAAAAGCACTGAAAGCAAAAGTAGACGTCGGACGGAATCCTTGCAAACCACGTTTTGTATATTATAACCAACGCATGAATCTTTGCTGCATTATATTGGTACTGTTTACTTTTCATTTTCAAAGTGTCTTCTGACATCGCGTGAGATATACCCGCTGAAAGCATTGCTCGCCATGATTCTGTTGCATAACTAAGGGCTGTATATGTGTCAAAATCAGAGTGAAAAATCCAAGCCAACACATTAAAAGCTACATCACGATGTCTCACATTTAGTCCTTCCGCCAAGATTCGGATATTATGTTTAGCGTCTTCACGCGCTTGGACCCTTTCGAGTTTTCTTTTTATTAAATACTTTAGTAAGAAAAAGTAAATATTGCTGTCAACAACAGCCCTATACTGCCAACGACCAAATTTGTCTTTTTTTTCTTGTTCGTTTTGAAAAATACCGACATACCTGAAGATTTCATACTTAATGGCATCCGGGGCAATAAGAATTTCTGTCGGAAGAAAAGAAACACAGTTTGAAACTTCTAGCGGCGATGTTTTAATAATATCAGTAATTGCTAATTTTTGATCAATCAAAATGTATCTACACTTACAAAGAGACGGATTATACTTTATGTACTCTTCGTCAAGTTGATCTATCCACCATTCACAGTCGTTATACAACTCAGCAGCGTACAGTACTGATATGAACTTAAGGCGTCCTGGTAAATTACCTTTCATAAAGTACACGAAGGATCCAAGAAGAAGGAAATATCGTATTTGGGGATTCGGATTTTGAATGGCAACTGCAGAAATATTACTAGCCAAACACGTGTAGATACTTGGTAACAATAATGATAGAGAATTGTGTGTGTCTCGTTCTGTGTGTCCACTAATAATGTTAGCAGAAGTATGTTGAAAACCGTCTAGCGTAAGCCAAATAGACCTTATGAAATTTAATGTATTGTAATCGGCTTTGAAACTGTAATGTTCAAGTATTCCGTGATTAAAAAAGGACATGGCATCTTGGATTATACATGTACGTGAGTTGCGTAACGCTATTTCGAGGACTGCTGTACTGTTTGCATGAAGCCGTTAAAAGCATTCTAGAGATCCCCGTGACCTGACAAAGTCACATATTTTGTTTTTTCTTACTGAAAGCAAAGAATCAAATCCGACATTTAAGATTTCATTTAAACATTTTTCTGATTTTAATCGCAAATTGTTGTTCAACCTACCATCAAAAAGGTTTTCTCCAGGAATAAAATAGTTAGGACAAAATCCACATTTGATCCATTTCACCATTTTTCTGATACACAACTTTATGCAATACCATAGAAGTTTTTTTTTCCCAAATATTTCCGTTATTCTCCTCTATTGCATAGAATAGACATGTTTTCCAATGGTACGTAGTTATACAGTCAAAGTTTATAACATCTCGGTTTAGCATTTTAAGGACAACGTAACACTTATGTTGTACATCTGTAAGATTAAACATAAGTTGCCGTTCTTGCAGCGATAAAGATATTCTCCATTCTAAATCATTTTCCGGCGAGAACGGGTGGCCTTTTCTGACAACAAAGAATCCAAGTGACTTCAACTCTTCAATTGTATCTTTTGAAGGCCATCCATACAATCTGTAACGATAAAGCCATTCATTTGCAATTGTTGGCCATGATTTGCATCGATAAGAAAAAACAATATCTGTTTTGAGATGAGCAAATTTACCAACCGTTACATCAGCAGGTTTGTTTTTAGTTCTTTTAAATACTTCCGGATTTCCTGACAACAAATGGTCAGATAAAACTATTCTTTCCTCTCTGTCAATCTTGAATACATTCATATTACGTTTACGACTTAACATAGTCCAGTGTTTAGATGTGTATAGTGTTTCTCCATTAACGAGTTGTAGTTTTACGTATCCAGGAGGGGTATGTAATTCTCTTACGATTAATAACGTACTCAAAATTCCATCTTTTTCTGTAGCATTTGCCATGTCTTCGATTACAGAAAAACTTTCGTCACATCTCATGACATCCATGTCACTTGGCTCACCTTAAAATATATAAATGCGGTGTTATAACATTCAATAGACGGTCAATATTCTGGAAAAAAACTGCTTCTGCTGATCCCAGTCGTTACTAAAGCATGCAATAGTCTACAAATAATTTAACTTAAGGAACTTCAACAATACTGTTAAGGCTCCTGAGCGTTGTATAGCCAATATCACAATTAATTCGTAATTCGACTCTTTAACATCCAATTATGAGATACAAATATGTATAAATATTGAAATCTAAATTGATAAGTTCGTTGTGTAAAAAATGAATGAAACATCAAGTTTAATATCGTTATTGATAAAGTTTAAGTCATTTGATATTTTGATTCTGTAATTATAAATTGCCTTTCGATTATTAATTAGTGTCTTTCAATTCGCAAAGGTAAATGCTACCGTCACAAATATCATACAGACAACTCTGATGTTTATCAATGGACGCAACACAAGCATTCAATAGACTATACATGTCGAACTCACAAATTATGTAGGAAGAAAAATTGACATCTTTAGTCATCTCATCTAATTTCAATACGCTTATTGAGAATATCTACCGTCTTTTGATAAACATAAGAAGATGTTGTATGATTGCATATGAGACAACTTTTCAACAGTGACCAAAATGATATAGAAGTTAACAATTATAGATCAAAGTATGGCTTTAAACAATTACCAGACCCATAGTCAGCTGAAAATGGCCTCGAAATTACAAATATAAAACAATTTAAACGAAAAAAACTAACAGCCTGATTCATATTTAAAACAATCAACGAAAAACAAACTGATATACAGAAACAAAAGAAAACCACTGAATTATATGTTCCAGACTTTGGACAGGCATATAAAGAATGCGGCGGGGTTCAATATTTTTGAGGGTGCCTATCACTCCCCATAACCTGGAACAGTTTTGTAACAGCACAATATATGAAAAATTATCAAAAATCAGTTGAAAAGGACTAAACTGATCAAATCGATACATTGCAGAAAAACAAGTAACAAAAACACAAACCAGACGTGACAGGGTATTCATACATCCATACACCAAAAACAAAAAATATTAGTAGAGATCTTAGAGTACTCGCAGATACTGACAGCTAGTTCAAAGCCAATATCAACTAATACAACAATCATGTATCTAAGACTAAAATATCAATCAGTACACATCAAACGCATCCGATTGATTTAGAAAGGACGAAAAACACACGACCTTATGGAATGCCAAAAATCAGGAGTCGACAGATTGTAAAACCGTGAATGTGCATATGTGTATGTATATAACAATAAATAAGTTGAGTTTTAATTTACTGATAAAGAGTTGAAAGTCAAAACTGTCAGCAGAATCAAAAGGATTTTCAAAAGCACGTGATTTATTTAAAACATTCAAAGCATTGAATTTTTTTACACTCCAAAAATAGTTAATTCTATTATTGTCATATGTTTTATTACAAACATTAATAATAATTTCTTTAATTTGTATTAGCTAAGAATTAAACCAAAAGCCAATACATAGTACAGAAAAGGTTTTATTGTGAATTGCTAGAAATAAATAAGATGTCGGATTTTAAAAGAACAATTTGATTAACAAATGCAACGTATGTTTGATAAGATTTTGTGGAAGTGGTATGATGAGCGTGGAATAGATATAAGCGTCAACCTGTTTGTAATGACTATATCAAATGCGTGTTATTTATATAAAATACCAAAACTATTATTTACTCATTAAGAACAATTAACTCCATTATTTTCATATAATAGAAAGATTTGTAGAAGAATTTGTACACATCAGCCAAGATGACGAGTTAACTGACTAGGTGTTTGTGTACCTAAGATAAGGTAGCCAATACATAGTTGGGACATTTACTTCTGCAGCTGAGGTCTAAAACGTAGATGTGGTAATAATTGGACTGCAAGGAGTGTACTGAACGTTGAGCGCATGGTTATGAATGAAGAATTTGAAATTTCCCAAAGTTCCGTGTAGTACTTGCGTCATACTGCTAGAACAAATGTTGTATGCTTTATCGACTGAAACAAAGATTAAAAAAAAAAAAACTCTTTCCGAATAATTTTAGTTTGCTTCTCATCCTAGAAATGGAAATTTTATGATTTCTTCTTCCGTTTTATCTTGTGAAAGTTAGAGAGGGAAAGTTCTGGAAAATGTCTATTTCTTTCTCAAAAAAAAACAAAACCAGCTACTTCATCAGTTGATTCGGCATTGACAAAGTCTAAAAGTCATAGTATTAACTAAGGATTCTTGTTGTTGTTTTTTAAAGCCTTATATTAGTGTTGGATTATTTAAGTAATATTTTTTTTTAATTTGATTTAATATACTAAATAGATAAGTTCTACGATGTAAGGTCTCACCCGGTGAATCTGTGCCTTCAAATGTGCTTCCCATGTTTAAAGTGGTAATTGGTTCTTGGAAACTTTCAAGAATCTCGCCAATTATGCCTTGTTGTTGACGCACCTTCCTGTAAACTTCATTCACCCCAATAGTGTTAAGGACGTCAAACAACCAAATGCCATTATCTACCTCGTCTGAATACATTGTTTTGGGTGAAGCTGAAAAAAAAATATTGTGTTTGAGCACAACTATGAAATGCCATGCAAACAACAGTATTCTTAAATATTTTAAGATAAAGTAATGTTTGAATTAATATGAATTAATCGTGAAGGATTCATGGTATATCTGACTTCTATGGGCATTCAGTCAGCAATATTTTATCAATCAATTTTGAAGAAGTCATTGTAATATCTTAAAAAAATGAGGCATGTTGTTCTTTAATGGTATTAAAAGTAAGTTGCCGATTATTCTTTTATGTTATTAATACCGAAGATTGGTGTGCAGAGTTCTTGAAATATTATATCTATATTTATTTCATAGTTAGAACTAAAAATGTTATGGGATTAAATCTAAACACATAAAATGTACAAGAAGACTCGTTCTTATACATGCTATAATTGCTGTTAAACGTCATGGTAATCTGTCTCATAGTCGGAAAACAATTGTAAAAAGCTTGCCGGCTTTTTTATGTATTTTTTTTTTTTAGTAAAAAAGCGTAGCAGAGGCATGATTTGTGTAAAGCTCAAAATCTTTAACAATACCTCCTCAAAGTGTTTTACAAAAATAAACCTTGATATGAATAGTTACATTGGTATGCTATAAAAATTAGATTACGTTTGTTTTTCTATATGTTGTTATAAAGTTACGAAGTAGGAAGAAGTGTCTTTGTATTGTATTTATTTGGAATTTAATCATTTACAAAGTCATTGAACAACGTACCAGTTAAATATTTTCTTTTATCATTATAATATTATATATAACCAATATTTCCCATATAAAATTAAATGTTGATTTTTATATAAGAATCAACAGATATATCGATAATTAAATCTGGTAAATCCATTTTGAATATTATAATCAAATTAATTGATTTCAGATATAATAACCTAGACTCATTCAATATAACGATAAGGAATAGAACAAAATCAGTAAATTTTCAGATCAGACAACCATACATGAATCTACTATGATCATGTATAAACAGTGTTTCTTTCACTTTGTGTTTATAAAAAGGCATTTAACATTCAGAAAAACCGCTTAAAAATAAAATGAAAAAAATACATTATATTTCTCATAATATGAAATTGCAAACATATGATCATGTCAAAAGTTAAGTTCATAATTACGAAACGACTACAAAATTATATTTAAAACCATGTTTGATTTAATTCTGAAACTTCAGTTCAAACACTGACATATCGAACAATTGGACATATACACTCAATGTGCCAACGTAACATTATTCACAGAGAAAGAAAAAAAATCACTCGTTTCCTCTGTCATAGATATCGATTAAGAGATAAAGAAGTGAAATAATAATATATCGATATAAACATTGGCAACTGCCAACATTATTGGCGGTATGTGTAGTCTGAATGATCTGAGATGAAACATTATATTATTCATTGACACGAATCTCGATTATTTTGGGGAGCTTGCTGCAATATGAAACGACATAAGAAATCCGTAATACAATAAAATTTGAACTTGACTAAAAGAATCTAACGACGAAATAAGAAATAAAAATGACGAAACGACACACAAGTCCACAAAACACTACACAGAAAACGAAAAACTGAGCTTAATGAACCGTACAGAAAAGGGAAGATTGGGATCAAATATTCTAATTATAACCGCGCCGGATTGGTGATGTAAATCATAGACTGATTAATTTATAGTCGGTGACAAATTGACCACTACTGACTGACCGCCAGAACAGTAACGTCTAAGGTTACACGCAAAGGTGTATTAAACATGTAACTATTGGGCTGCATATTGATTTGTTTTTCATTTTGGGTAGATTAATTCATTATTCTGGTCCATAAAATAAACAGCCTGTATTTGTTATTTATTTGTGGTTTATTTGTTATTTATTTGTGGTTTATTTGTTATTTATTTGTGGTTTAAAATTCAATATCATTTGTGGCATTACATCATTTTGTATTCAAACTTCATTATTGATCACATACAAATGTAATGTATGCCTGCGCCAATCAAATCAGAATATCAGTAATTGTATTTAGAAATAGTAAGCTGGTGTTAAATCTTTCACACTTATTTACAAAGAAGGTTAACTTAAAAATCACGGTTAAGATGAACGACTTATCAGGTTCATCCATGGTAAGGGGAAACACTATGTTCTTCATTCATATTCCCCTTTTCGTTCATACAGTGAATTCAAACTATTATTATCAACTTCTGCCATTTATATTCAGGTATAAGGTTTTAAATGCATGCGATTTGGGTACATAGGAAGTGTACACTTTAATTTAGATTTTTTTGGTATACTGTATGAGTATATAATAAAAATAAAAGTGAACAATAAGTTGTTATTCATAAAATCAATCGTATTTGTAAGAAAAAACAAGGACATTTAACAAATAAATTTATAAGATCAGAAAATCATCGACGACGTTTAATAGTCCGTTTAATTAAGTTACACAATCAAAAGTGTTTGCCACTATATTTATATCGAAATATCCTGACAGAAGTTTTATTAGTCTACAAGATCGATTAATGTCGACACAATGCTTCTTTTGACATAATTTAAATCTATACTTCTTTATTACCTCTTACAAAAATTAATTTATATGAACTTGGTTATCCTTTTTATGTTCTTTTTGTTTAAATGTTAATAATGTTTCACGCATATATAAATCCTTGGCCTCAAATGTTTGAATTTAAGCGTTCTTGGTGAAGTAAACCGACAGAAGCGCATCAGACGCGCAATGTTCTACTTTTAGTTTTACTGTTAAATGATTAATTTGAATTTGTTTGATTTTAAGTTCTTCAAAATTGCACTGCTTAAATTCTGATGACTTGTGTGAATTGCGTTATTTTAAATTGTATTCAAGTAGAAAAACATAGAAAAGCATTACCTTTAACATGTTTAAGGTCTGTTCTATTATGTATAAATATTTATTGGTACTTGTAGTTACTGTTTCCTTTACTAATATCGGTGTTGTGCTGTACATTTTTAGGTATATATATATATTTTTTTTTTTTCTGAAACACTCACAATCGCAAAAACAATTGACAACGGATAATTTTAGAATACTGCATATAAGATCTCTGACGCGTGTCTTAGTAAACAATTGCTTTACTAGATATTATGCAGCAGTCACTTAAGTTTAAAAACTAAAACAAATGTTCAGGACCTAAACAAAAAACCATAACCCTCCCCCTTGAAGTTAAATGGTTGCTCCCTAAATATAGATCTCAGATGACTACCTGGTAAACTTAAATATGATTTAAGTATAAGGCTCCCATTAGTTTGTTAATGCACATACATAGTTTTGCCTGTGTGTTGGCTGGTATTTTTTCATAAACTTAGTCAAAAACTATTGGAAATAATACAATTTGTAAAAAGAAACCAAAGTGATTTAGAAAATTCATGCTCAAATAACAAAGAAAAAAGTTAATATCTAACTTTGAAAAAACATGTCTTTCCCTTTAGGACACCAATTATTAATTTGTGTGGGTGGTGTATGAAAAATTTTATTACTATTAAAAACTATTTGTATCTTGAAAGTTTGGAAAAAAAATCAAGGCTATAATTATAACATTCTTTCTCCGAGACATTGTTTTGCGTTTCCTTAATCAAATTAATGAAATATATTTATTCGAACGTTAGTATCAACTGTTTCTGCCAATTGTGACCAACAATATTTGTGAAGAATGAGCTTTCTTTGTTTATTCATAATCGATGTATCCCACCGCCGATCAATCAATTTTTTTTTTTCATAATTTAACACTATAAGGTATGGGGAAAATTTGGATTCAAAATATTTTTTGTCATTTGCTTGACAACAATATTTTCAACCATTAAATTGGGGATAAGATTTTTTTTTTTTTTTTTTTTTGTGGAAAAAGTCATTACCCCTCCTCGACCCCACATTGAAGTTAAATGGTCGTTCCCTTAAATATAAATATAGAATGTATTCTATTTTGTCTACTCTATGGTCGGGTGGTTGTTGTCTCTTTGACACATTCCCCATTCCATTCTCAATTTTATTAGTTACTTTATTCATTTAAAATGTTAACACTCAATTTATGTGTAAATGAGATGGCAATTATTTGCTTGATAACTATTATAATATTTTAATTGAAATATTTATATTTACATAAAAATGTCAATGTAGAAACTTAAATATTATGCAGATTAGATATGACTTTAAAGACAGTATTTTCTTCATTGTCCATGTCTTATAGAACATATATATTCGAGGGACCATAATGGGCATATAGATAATACATTTATAAGGAAAAAAAACATTGATTAGCATAGATACATATAATTTAAATACAAATTCACAATACAATTAGACTGTCAAGAAGTCATTTGTGTATGTATAGTATATAATATAGTTACATGAAAAATAAATGTATGTAACTCATATTGACTTTAACGAATTTTCAAACAGCATGAAGGACAGCTTTTAAAGTACGTAAATTATTTTTTTTAAATGTTATTGATGTATTAATAGCTTTCAAAATTGAATAAGGTTTGCCTATGAATTTATATTTGACTTTTGCTGAATGTGTATTGTGTATTTCTGATGTTTCCAGGTGACAGTGGTATGTGTGCTCCATGTAATACAAAAACAAGATGATTAATATTGAATATAGATATAAACTTGAAATAAAAGCAAAAGTGAGGAATGATGAAATGTTTTCACATAAGAATTAGCAAATAGAATCATCAATAGGATTAACCATGCACTAACTTCAATGAAAGTCTGGAATATGGTCTTGTAAAACAACAACTTCTATGTCATTTAGTCTTATTGGCAATCATACCACATCTTCTTATTTCATACATTGAAGAAAATAAGTCAGTTTTGCTGCATTCAGTAGACAATTTCAACTTTTTTCGAAATTGCTATTTAAATAGTGTACTGAAAACAAAACAAAGTTTGGAATTAAAGTCACTGTTCAACAAATAACCCATAAATCTTTACCATGTCTCTAATAAGTGAATGCTTACTAATGACTTGGGTAAAGTAAAACAACAATAAGATTTCCAGATATTTTTTATCATTTGACACTGGTCATACCATATATATATACATATATAAAATACTCCCACTTTATTTTCAGAGAGAACCAAGTAAGGAATCTTAAGTGCCACTAATCTTATTATTTAATTACATAAAGCATAGAAAGATGATAGAATATTATTATTCTTATAATTTCATTCAACATTTGTTCATACTGATGTCTGCCTATTTCATGTTGTTCAGTCTTAAAACTTAACACTTAATGTATGGCTAAAAATTGCTATAAACATAATACATTATTAATAATAAAATATAAACAATCAAAATAGTTGTCCAAGTTCTTGATTTTTCAATTTCATAAACAATCCTGGCAACAGGGATATTTGTATGCAGTCGGTAAAGAATTCTAGTAACTATTTTTACTCAATCTAAAAAAAACTCTTTCATTTCACAATACCTGGATTTAAAAAAAAATATTGATTATTTATTTTGTTTTTCTTATTTTATTTTCAAAATTGCTCTAAACAGCAGAATTGATGTTAATCTAAAAATTACTCATCAAATATTCTCAAATTTATACATGTAGTTGTTCATTTGATATGCATAATTTGAAGGATAGTATACATACTTATAGAATGACAAAGAGAAAAAAGAAACGACGATTTCATTAAAACTAAAAATGTACAGATTGTGTAAGGGAGATTTTGGATATTGCTGTCCCTATAAATTCATAAAAAGCCTCAATTGGATTTGGGTTTGATGTTTTGTTAATAGATGAAAAATTGGATGACCCATATTGCAAGTACATAGATGACATATGATTCCGACTGATGATTTTTAAAATGGGTCCACATTGAGGTCCCTAGGGTACAAATTTAAACTGAAGACATATAAAATTTAATTATTTATTGGTTCTATGATATGACATATCTAACTGTTAAGTTAGAATTTTAATTTTGTGCCCCGTTTTTAAATTGGTACCCATTAAGATCCAAAGGGTCCAAAAGTAAACTTTGTTTGATTTCAACAAAAATTGCATTATTGGGGGTTCTTTTTTATAAGCTGAATCTAACTGCGTATTTAGATTTTTGGCCTCGTTATCAGATTGGTCCATATTGCGGTCCAGAGGGTCAAATATTAAACTTCGTTTGATTTCATAAAAAATGTACTCTTGGGGTTCTTTTGATATGCTGAATGTAATCTGAATGTAATATGTATTAAGTTTTTGGAAATTGGACCATAATAGGTAACCATAAATGTTCAATTTCAAATTTTTAATTTCTTAGATCACATTCATTCTGTATCCAAAACCTATACTGTGTCGTATAATTCATTATAATCTTAATTCAGATATGTCATTGTCTTTATCAAGCATGAATGTTGTGTCCATTCTTGTTCCAACTTCAAGGTTCAAGCTCTGAGGTCAGGCATATCAAGTTGAGCCTTGCATTTTATTTTCAAATTGGTTAACTCATACTCATGTTAGAACTGAATAATTTTGTATGTATGCAGAAGTAAAACTTGTGTCTGATCCTATTTTAGTCAATTGTTCAAATAAAATAATCATAAACTAAAACATGTATATGATGCAATTTTACATCTTCTATTTAGAGCATGGTAAGTACCAGTAGATTTCAACGACAAAATTGATAAGCTATTATTACAATTTCTATGTTCTTACTACTTTTCTGATGTTTGCAGGGAAAATTGACATTGAGTGAAACATATCTTCTATGAATAAAACGAGGAAATATGTGTCTGCAGCAGTAAATCATTATAACGACAAGGCTGAAAAGAAGATATCAGAACATGAGATGAGTTTTATTTCAGTTTAAAAGACTTGTTACAGAATATACCTCTGGTGATTCTGATGAAAACCATTGTGAACTTGAAGTAAAGGAAAATTTTATAAAATAGAACAGGAAATAAAGAAAAAGACTCCATCATTTAGAGCATAACAAAGCACAATGTATATTTCTAATTAGTCTGTTAATTCAGAATAACCAATGCGAAGGAATAATATTGTACAGTAAACAACATACAATACACTTACTTTTTCACTTTTTGCAATTTGTGAATTTTAATGTTGTACTTAAAGGTAAAATTTATACATGGCATGACAGATGCATTACCTTAAGTATTCACTTAACACATGAACATCCAACATAGTCAATGCAAAAACAACTTGCACTTACATATATGTAATTCATATGATATTAATTTGAAATTCTCATCACAATCATTTGAAAAAAAAAAGACTTGAAAATAACACAACTTTTACACGTAAAAATAATGTGAAAAAATCTAAATGTGTAATTAACATAATATTTACACGTTAAAATCACGTTTAAAAATTTACGTGTGAAATTAACACAATATTTACACGTTATAATCACGTTAAAAAATTTACATGTGAAAATAACGTTAAACGTGAATATCACATGAGTAAATTAAAACGTGATTATCGCGTGAAAATCTTGTGTGTGTAAAATTCACGTGATATAAACGTGTAACCAGTGTGATAAACACGTGGGAATAACGTAGTTCTCACGTGATGAGCACAAACATTAAACACACGTTGGAAAAAATTGCCTGTGTAGGAGTTACAAAATGCAACGCATGTGGTTTTTTATCAAATTTTAGAAACATTTCAGTCATGGAATTTAACTGTCAGCTCACCTGTATGCATTAACATATTGCTTGCTATTGCAACATTTTCTTCTTCTGGGGACATAGTTGATTGAGAATCTGTCCTCTGTGCTTTACTTTTGCCTGATTTGATTACCTCGGCATGTTTTCTTTTAGACATGACTACAATCTAAAATATATATATTAAAATTAACATTAAGCAAAGTATCTATTCAATTTAACGAGACATTCACACACATATATTCATAATGAATTTAAATGTATCGGAACCAACTGTACATACTTAATTGGTGGACCATTTTTACTAACAGATGGCAAAAAACTAGAAAATACAGGTAACTAATTGGTACATAGTAAATGCACTGACAGGCATCAAAACAAAATCACTGACAGCTGTGTATAATTATTTGCTTGATACCATTTAATTCTGAAAAAACAAATTCTAAAGATCTTTGCAGTCTTCTTTTTGTCTATATTCAGACTTTTCCAATGCGATTGATTCAGTAATTCAGATAAGTCATTTGCAATCAATAAAGATTTGTTCAGTATATTTTCACACTGTTACAATAGTTATTTACCAGTATTTTATTGTATGAAAAACTACTGTACAGTACTTAATTTACTACACTTGTCTGAACAGTTCTGAAATAACCGAAATGATTAGTAAAAATTGAATAAAAGTCTGGACATGATTTTGAAATTATTTATTGTCTGGCTTCTCAACTGATTTGAAGGCCAACACAATAGTTTCAGACTAATGACTGCACCAGATACGCTCTCTTGATATCAGTGATGCTCGGGACCCAAACACTTAAATAACAAAACAACTTATACAAACGTGGCAGAATTGAAAAAACTAAAAGAATCTTCAGTATAGCATGCCAGTGAGACATATTCCTAAGTATTAAAAATGATTACAAAATTCTATTGAATCAAATTTCAATCAAACAATAACCTTTTTTGTCATTCCAGTACCGAAATCTTGACTACTAAGGTGGGACCTCACGGTAGATACCTGAATGTTAAGGGCATACAATACAGTTTCGATCCCATGATGATTATTTTACGAAAATGTGCATACAAGCTATTTTTCACCTAAGCAATTCAAATATGTAATAAAAAATATACCTGCATTTGCTACTTTAAAAGATAAGATTGGTAGAAATTTTAGACATTTACTCAAAATTTCGGTTTTTTGGACAATTCTATTCTTTGGATAAACACACCTAACTTTTTTATTTCAACAGATACACACAAGCGGATTTTTGTAGAAACATGATGAAACTCTCCTTTTCATAAATATGCTCTTAATATGTATGTTTCTTTGGAAATAATCAATTTTTAACAAAGTTTCTTGATTTTAGGGAAAAAACGCCATTTTTGCAGTATATTTATCAAATTAAAAAATGTCTATGTTGACTTTTTCATTAAAATTGGTACAAATAATCTTCATACGTTATAAAATCTAATGCCATTTTAAAAAAGATGGGTCCATGTACCGGTTTTAAGGTTAAATCAGTTTAAATCATAAAAAAAAAACGTCGAAAAATGCATCTTTCCCACAGTTATACGTCGCGAAAATAACATTTTACGTTAGCAACGTCATTACCTCCCCTGTAACTGTATCGTATGCCCTTAACAGAGCCTCAAGGTAGATACGTGAATGCTAACATGGCCAATGGAGTCTTTTTCTTTAAATAAAGTTATAAATACATTTGTATTAGTGTTATTAAGCTGGTGATACCATTGTGGACAAACAGTCCATTTACAGATGTATCGAACCAGTGGTAGCAATAATATTATCAGTACCATTTTTTTTCTGCATCAGATGCGCAGTTTTTAAGTGTATGCCTCTTTCGTTAGGCTAGAGGAAACTTAATTTGAAATCCGATAATCTAATAAAAATATTGCAGATTTGTTTAACCGAAATCCGGACAAGAACTCAGAGCTTTGCATTAGAGAGATATATTTCTTTATTCGAAATGATTTACACAATTTTAGAATAGCAAATTTGAATCAAACAATGTATTCATGCCAGTAGCAAAATACTGCCTACTAGCTGGTGATACCTTAAAGGACTAATAAAATTAACCCAGTTATACCATTAACAGTACCAAACGTTGTCATTCAATCATGCCAAACAGGCATCAGTGATATCAAAAACCTAACTATTATGGCATATGTTTGATAACAGAGGCGAAAAAGATCGGGCACAGTTTAGTATCGCAGTTCAATCATACGAGCGAAAGATTGTCATAGGTCAAGCGACACAATATTATTTCTTGAAAGTAAAGACATATATATTCCAATTGATCATGAGGCATAAGTAATGCCTGGTTGAATTCCTGATACCTTTCTTTTACTTTTTTTTACTTAAAAATCTGTATATAAAACATGTATATGACTTTGCAGTAAGGGTTTTGCTCATTGTTGAATGCCGGATGATGACATATACATGTAGTTGTTAATGTATGTGTCACTTGGTCTCTTGTAGAGTTGCCTCATTGGCAATCATACCACATCTTCTTTTTTATATATATGCTATAACTGTCTCTATGTTAAACCTATCGTATATATCCATACATAAATATCTAATTATTTTGGGCTAAAACCACCACTTCCTGAATTCTATTATAGAATATTGGGTAGCCTGTTTTAATATCAAAATGAAGACCATCTTCTTGATCTTAGCAAAAGAGGGGCGAAAGATACCAGAGGGACATTCAAACTCGTAAATCGAAAATAAACTAAAGAAAAAAGACAAATAAACAAACAATAGTACATAAAACACGACATTGAAAAATAAAGACTAAGCAACACGAACCCTACCAAAACCTTCGGTGATCTCAGGTGCTCCGGAAGGGTAAGCAGATCCTGCTCCACATGTGGCACCTAATGTGTTCCTCATGTTAGTACAAACCCGGTAATTTGTGAAAATGGAACGGGATAGTAGCTACGATATAAGTAACATATCAGCTATCATTTATGAAACGGATATTCCATAACGGTCAACCAACTTGTGATGGCATCAGTAAAATTTACGAAGGCAATTTAGCAACAATCGAAAAATGTACACTTCTTTGAATAAAAACTGTAATGATTCCATCCAGAATGGCAAATTGTCCAATCTGTCTTCTCTTATAGATTGTGATGAAAAATAAACATTCCAATCTATCACATGTTTTAAACAAGTGAATGTCCATCTTATATTCGTCTAGTTATTTATTCTGCAAACCATTGCATGAAGTTTAAATAATCATTTGATTAGAATTGTGTGTACTTAGTGCGAAAAATTAATACATTAAATCAATTTATGAATATTTACAGCCAATTACTCAGAATTCATTTCACGTTAAGCATATCCGGAAATATTTAATTACCTAAAATTCAATTGATCAGAATCAAACGACTGAACAGCTTACTTTGCTAAATATCTTTTTTTCGGATCAATCATGTAACCAAATCAATTATAGAATCAGTGTTTGAAGTAAACGATTTAGAATTACGGAAAATAAAGATAGCATTGATTGTACACGCTATCTATATTTGAATGAAGTAAAAATTATATGAAAAATGAATTGGTGGTGCATACATGTCTACTATTTGTATATTTGTATTTGTACATGTATACATGGTGATAATGATTTTTAAATCAAAGTGTTACAAAAAAGAATAGTTTCAAAATAATTCAGAATTGCTTCCTATAATGCCAGTGTTAAACGCTGCAAATATGTTGATGTTTGACTTAGTTTAAATTCATTGCAAAATTGTTTCAACCTGTCTGTCTTGTATTTGAATTCAATTTGTTTTAACAAAATAGTTTTCACAATCATTTTTTAATTGCAACAAAACTAAAATAGAAAATCGACAACACAATGCAACATTTGTTTTATGTATTTGAGCTTTTGATTTTGCAATTGTTAAGGGAGATTCCGTTTTGAACTTTCCTTGGAGCTCAGGTTAATATCCTTCGCCATTTTCAGTAAAAATATTCCATAAGTCTTAAGTTACCTTCTGAATCCATTAGTTTCATACTCTTAGTTTAATAATTTGATCAATAACTGTGCCATGTTATTTAGTTGTTTTCAGTAAAATAATAAGGACATTAAATATATACTTTTTTTTGGTATATGCTGCTTCCCAATTAATCACCTACGGAGAGTTCAAGCAAATATCTCCGGTACTCGACCCGAGCTAGCTACTCTGAGCCAAGAAGAACTGCTTCAAGAATATATCCTTCTTTTTAAATAATCCTTTACCTGGTGAAAACATGTCATCGGTTTGTACAAAATGATTGTCGTACTATTTCTTATTGTTGACAAAAATTTAAAGCAAAATGTTCCCTTGCGTTTCGTGAATCGTAAATACAAATCTTGTTAAAAAAAACTTCGGAAAACTGTTGCATTTTAGTATATATTGATGGAGTAGTCGCAATATATATTTTTAAATTAAACATGTAACTTCTTAAACCATACGATGGACGCTCTGCTGTTTAGTAAAATGGCTCATAGCCAAATAGACGTACATAGTAATAATTGACTCCCTAATAATACCTTTAATCCTTTCAATCCACATTTAATCACACTTGACACAAAGATAAAAATAACACCAGTTCATGACACACTAGAGAAACCGGTTCTTCAAACTATAATTTATTCAATAAGTTGTACACCCTACTTACCAAACTGTATTGTATATATTATCCCATTATTTCCAAAGTGAATTTAAAACACAAACAAGTGAACAGCTTATATATGTAACAGCCTATATACTCGTCAGCCATTTGTTGGTTTTATATTATCTAGCTTGTAAGCTCATATCATAAGTTGCCAAACGTTGAAACTAGTCATCCACACTGGACAGCCCTTTAACTATCTATAAGTAAGATAAGCGACCGTATTCTTAATCTTTTAACAACTAACACTCCACGCGTAGCATAAATATCTACTTTGTTTTACTAATTAAATTACCAATCGACTGTCTTATTTTTCACTGTTGTTGCATACGATAACCAAACTAATTAAGCTTAACGAAAGATTTAATCACTAGTTTGTCCTTCAGGAATAACATCAGTGTTTTACTATTACATAATACAATTATTACTCAAATGACTGAACATGAGTAAATTAAAGAAAACATTATCAACATAACAAGTATAAACATTTCTTTGTTCATTTGTAAGATCTTAAGAGACCCACTCTTCTGACATACGACCGTAAACAAATATGCATTTACCAAAACCAATCTGCACCTATCACATTTCATATTTGTTCAAGCAAAACAATAAAGCACATACATTAACTTTGTATGAACGTATGTGACCTTTTGCGTTGAGATGCATTGCATTACTTTTTCCAAACTTCAATGCTTTATATTACACTCTCGTTGAGATGCATCATATTTGTGTATGATTAAAGATTCCGATAGTAATAGCATGTCGTAAAACTGCACTCAACGGCTTTTGCCTATATATTACAGTTTTTGAATTAATCGACAAACACTTTTTAGACAAAAACTTTAA